CAGAGTCACTCATTTACACAAATAATATGGAAGTTTTTTTCTGGTTACCATTTGCAACAAGTAGTTGTTGCTCGGAAATTGTTAACTATTTGGAGGATGAAAAGATTTCCATTTGCGGTTGCAGTTAGACGGGATGTCTAATAGACTCTTAGTTGTGTTAGAAAGGTAAGATGTCAAAGACTTAAAGATGAGACCGAACATCTAATATCTATCTCGAAGTCTGATATCTGGTAAATAATCTGGATGGACCGTCAGAGATTATTAGATCCTTGCGGCCACTTCTCATGCTAGAGCGGGACTGACAGAGTAGTTTCCACGGATCTAGATGAGAGATTATCGATTCTACAAAAGGGTCAGGATTCTAGTTGTGATATCATTGGCTAATAAAATTAAATCAGCTTCATTTTGTCTAGTTTGGGAACTAGTAAGATATCAGTTCCTACGAATAGCACGGATCACGAGACGGCTTAGATGGATAGATGTGGTGATTCACACTTTGCATTAAGCTTCGTCTGGTGAAAGTAATAGGGACAAGTATAGTACTGTCTCCAAGTGTCACCTGCTAACAAGGTGGAAAATTGAGGCTCGAATATCATTGGAGGTTTTAGCCACTTCCTATATCAACAGGGAAGTAGGACTAATCAGGAGATAGATGGTTGGTAGAAAGTACCGACATTGTTTGGAATTTTAATTCCATATGGATTAAGAGTTGTGGATAAGCAAGTTCGATGGTGGACATCATTGTGAGTGGTGTTGTTTTGGCGTGTTATGTCAGTTCTACACTGCGCTGATAACGGAGTTATAGCATGTGCTTATTCAATATGGAAGATAATTGGTGCTATGTCAAAGGAGCTTCCTGAAGGTGTTGAAGCAACAACTATGCTTCGTATCTCTAGACGGGAAATGGGATCATGATATTCTATTTAATCATGGCATATATGCTTAGGATACATATCCTAGGTTGGCATGGGTAATTGAAAGCGTTACTTACCTTTTCAGATATTATCTGTGCTATTGTTGGCACAAGGAGGTTCGTGCGACAATGTTTGGGATTTTAGATAGTCGGGTTGTGTCGATCTCTTACTGGTTGGTCCGACATGGAAGCGAGGTTATCTAATAAGACCTTGACTTTATGTAAGTATACATTGGAGAACCATGCTCTCTTTTGGTAATGATTGCGCACGGTTTGGAGGCGGCAGTCGAATTTTGTAGATTGTTGAACTCGTACATGAGTGTTTTCTATCAGGAAATGGTTGTTGGGAGGACTTTCGTATTGGAAACAATGTTTTTAGAGGAAGGTCAGTTTTATGTATTACACTGACTTTTCCAGGATGTTGTCACTCGAGTTAGGCTGTAGCCTATTGTTTAGCGTTACTAAATAACTAGCGCTGGATGCATAGGAATTTTATGTGTTAGTTCTATGGAATTGGAAGGACGAGGGATGGATACCCTTCATTAAATATTGGGTAAGATTGGATCGTTGCTAGATACAACCTAGAAGTTGTACATTTTTACTATTTTTCTTTTACATAGAAACTTGGTATGTTGTTGGTTATGTTAGGAATTTGGTGGAGCTCATATAAGCGGCTGTGCCACACGAAAATGGAAATGAATTTTGCACAGTAATTAATTTAGAGTTTTGTGAATTCCGAGGACGGAATTCCTTTTGTTAGGGGGGAAGAATGTAATACCCCTAGTTTTCAAAAGGACAAAATAGGAATTTAATTTTGCATTTTGGTTTTTATTTCATTTTTATTTGATTATATAACTTAGTTGTTTGGATTGATTGTTTTATTTGGGGAATTTATTTTATGTGTATTTGCTTAATTGCTTAATTACTATTTATGTGTATTTAATTTAATAGTTGAATTGTTTGTGTGTGATTTAATTTAATTATTTTATTTGTATGATTTAATTGACGTGTATTGTTGGTTAGTTTATATAATTTATTTGTCAATTGTTTATTTAAATTTTTTTGCTTTATTTGCAGTTATGTTTGGGTGACTCATTTAGTTTATATTTTAAATGGTCGTGGATATAGATTAGGGTTAGGGTTTTCTTTTATGGGGAGTATTTAGCCGACTTGTAAATTAGTCGAAATTAAAAGTAGGTTAAATATAGAATGAAGGCCTATATATATTGAACAAAATAAGTCTGCTAGTGTTAGAAAACCCTATGCACGTATTAGTTTTGAAAAGGCAAAATAGAGGAAAAAGGGGCAATGACCAAAGGAGGAAGGGAATGTATTAGGTTTGCCGGAATTTGCAGTCGAAGGTTGAAGGTTTCGAACTGAAACCTAGAGGCAAGTTTCATTCTATTTTCTTCCTGTAAACTTGTGTTCTGTGCATTCCTAGGGAAACTCCAGGAAATTTACGTTATTAAAATCAACCATGTGTACATGCTAAAATTTGAATTGCATTATGTTAATAATATGTGTATATGTTTAATTTTTGTTTAAAGTTTACTACATGATTCATGATTTTAACTTGTTCAAATTATGTATAAAGAACCAAAATAATGTTTAGGGTTGATTGGGATGTAAAACTGTACCATTAGTAACCTTAACAGAGTCATCGGAGTCGGAGAAGAGACAGACAACGAGGCTTCACGTTGACGTCTATGGGCTAGATGTCAACCGGTTTGGAGAAACCGGTTGACATCTGGAATTTTACATCGGCTGGTTTAGGTAAAGCAGTCGACACTTGAAAATTATACATCAACCGGTTTGTGTAAACCGGTTGACACTTGAAAAGTATACATCAACCGGTTTGGGTAAACCGGTTGACACCTAGAACCTATACATCAACCGGTTTGGGTAAACCGGTTGACACCTAGAACCTATACATCAACCGGTTTGTGTAAACCGGTTGACACCTAGAAACTTTACATCAATTGGTTTAGGAACTTTGTGAACTCTTTGGTCCAATGTTGTGTTGTTCCTATAGAACACGTTTGGGTTTATTTTATTAATATCAGAGTATATAAATTAGCCTAATAACTTACTGGATTGCATAATATACCTAGATATGCTAAGTATAGGATTTAATTAACTAAAAAGTTAGTTAATGGATGTGTATTAAACTGTTCTAAGTTAAATAAAAACTTGAGGTTAAATAGTTTAATTTTGTTATGGAGATTAAATCGGTCTAATTGATATGCATAATTAAAGTCTTTATGCTAACGGATGTGTCAGTAGGGAAGTTTAAACAACCTTGCATACTGGTAACGGATGGAAAGAAATTAATTGCTTAATTTTAATTTGGCAATTTAACGGTTTATAGCATGATTATAAATCTTGTTTTGGATGCTTAATAGGGTCATTTATTTATCATACTTGATCTGGGCATATTCTGGATTTTAATTGTTGAACTATTAAACTCTGTTCTGCAATTACCTGGATTATTGTTTGGTTTTTAATTGTTGAACTATTAAACTATGTTCTGTCAATTACATGGATTTATATGTTGGATTTTTAATTGCTGAGTTATGATATTAAATTCTGTCAATTATATAGAAAGGGATAGTTTAAATTGTTTATCATTACTTTAGCAATTTAAACAGATGTTTCGTGATTTTAATCATGTACTGTATGCATAATAAAATCTTGTCTATATTTGATTGCTATTATGTCGGACACTAGATATATTTGATGTTCTAATGAATGTGCATCGTTTGTGGATCATTTGCATTATATGTACCGGTATGGGACGGTGACATATCAGGGATGGATTAGATCAAAAAAAAAATTAAGTCCTACCCCTTCATACATAAGGAATGGATTAACTAAAATAGTTAAATCCTACATGGATGCATGTCCTGTCAACTAAAACAGTTGAACGACATAATGGATATTTGTTTTATCTTTTTGCACCAGGAAGGAATTTATATATATATTTATGGTACCGTGATACGAGTTTGAGTCTCCTGATCACGGTTAGGGTGCGTATATTGCAAAGGTTGAGTAGCTGGATATAACTAATGTTCCCTGGTAGGTCTAGGTACTTGGCCGCTGAAAAGTGTATTTTATAGGTCACCTTCTACCCAGGCTGAACTATGTTATAGGCTTGTGAGCATCCTATAGTGTGTATTTATATATATATGGACTATTGTAGATATTGCCGAGCTATCTAGGATGTATCTGCGTATCGGGTTTATGTACGGATTGTAGTAGGATGGAACTTGCATGTGGACCTGACCCACCTTTATTTTTCAGGTGTTCGTGAGTACCAGGCTTAGGGTTTGATCGTGGTGATGCAGATACAGTCACTCACTCTTCCGATTACATATGATTTTCTTTCTTATTTTGGTTTTGGATTTTAATTCTGTAAATGTTTTACCAGTTGGAATTATTAGGGGTCCACTAGATGGATTCCCGAGTTGTACAGATTTAAAGGATTTAAATGTTATTAATTTATTATTTTAAATTGAGGATTTTTATTTTAGAATTCTTTCAGCGTTTTGATATTTTATTCTTAATTCAAATTTTATTCCTGCTTGTTTACATATTAATTGTATGATATCCCTCGGATCTGTGCTCGGACTTGATCACCCGTGACTCTAGAATCGAGGGGTATCATATATAAGGTACAAGATAAAAATTGAATAAGACCATATATTTATTTACGTGATGAATTATAATTGATCGAGATCATATAATCTTGAACCCATGTAAAAATGTCTTCCATAAATCAATTGATAATTCAGTACAATACATCCTTTAGTTGAGTGAGACTTTAAGGGATCTTAATAAATGAGCCAAACTCCTATGTATCCTTATAGATAATGGTCTCCATAGCCACTTTAGTTGATATGTAATTCTCTCCCTCTCAAACCCAATACACATTTCACTAATCCATGGATTATACACTGTTTTTCAAAGCCCTAATAGTAGCACATTGAAACCATTTAGGAGAAGGATAATGATCTTTAAACTTATTTTCTAATTTTTTTATGAAAAATGACAAAACAGGCCAATTCATTTTATGGAAAAAGATTCTCCACTAAATGGATAAATGATTGTGGAGAGAAGACAGTAGATATTTGTAAACAGCAAGCCAGCCTTGTTCTGAAGGGTGCATTATGTCCCAAAAGAATGATTGGTTATGGTTATTGCATATCATGTACTTCTTCACTCCATTCTCATCTACGCTTCCGCATCCATATTCTCTGCTCACACCCACGCAGCATGGTTTCAATGGGTTCTCAAACTCTGAATTTTCTGCATGAACCAGGAAGATTGGGTTAATTTATATATCTATATAAATATATTATTTATTTTCTTGAGCAATTCACTAAGGCACAATTGTATAAACATATTTATTGAGATAGTCTACAATACTTCGGGTATATCGTACTCTCGGGGCCTCTTAACTGTTAGATCATTCATTAGGTGGGTTCAATCACCACATTCAACAGCTGGGAACCTCCGTGATACGATACCGCGAGATATTGTAGACTTTCACATATATATGATTTGTATGCCAAACATATTTATATTGCATGTATATGCATGTTTAATTTAAGGCATGTCTGTATGGTCTGTAAAAAATGATCACCTGAATGGTTTTCTTTTATCTTGAATGCAGACATGAAAGCGCTGTATAAATCAAGCATCACAAACACATGTCCCCTGCTTTCATTGTTCAACCTCTGCACTGCTTGCTGCAAGATTTGGTTATGGAACATGGTGGCTGCATTTTCAGTTGCACTGCAATTCTGGTACGAAAATGAGCCAGTAAATGCAGGCAAGCACCCTAAGGGCTCCATGGCTGTTACAGCTACTTTTCGCAATCCCAACCCACGAATCCGTTTCAGATTCAGGGCAAGCTGGTTGATTACAGAGGTGGTGAAGGCTGGCAAACCCTATTCATGTACAAAGAATGGAGACAAACCTTATTGTATGTGTATACGTAATACATACATAATAAATACACACATTTAAATTGTTAGAAAGCGCGCAACTTAAATAATTATAATAAAGGAGGCTCTCAATTGGATGCACGAGGCCAAATGGATTCTATACTTGCATGCATCAAAGAAAAGTCTCTCGTACTCTTTTTTCGAATAGAGTGCTACAACTGATCAATTTATTTATTTATATTTCTTTTCTCAATTAATTAAGAGTTTGAGAACACTCCTCTTTATAAATTTGAATAGTTTATGATACAGGACTTAATTAGAGATGCATTTTTTCTAAATGGAGCTAGGAAAATTGGTAGATAAATTAACTCCAAAATTTAGAAACCCTAACCCTAAATTTGCAGCAACTAAATCCTAACAATAAGTAGAAAACTGGGTTTTTTCTGTCCACTTTGCTATCTTAACAGTTAGTAGATAAATTTAGGGCTAGGATTTCTAAATCATACTGTTCGTGTGTATTTGAAAGCATAAATAGAAAATTTGCTCTCTGGACAGCTAATCCAAACAAAGTTTAGGATCTGTTTGGTTCAGTTTTTTAATAACAGTTTTAATTGTTCTCAGAAAACAATACGAAATTCTTCTTGGTTGACAATTTTTGAAAATTGTTTTCTGAAAAGTTAAAAAAAAAAAAGACAGTTTTTTAAAACAATTTTAAAAATTAGTTGAAGAACAATTAAAACTGTTCCAACTCCAATTAAACTACAACTATTAAATGTATTCAAACGAGGTAGACTAACTTAAATGCATCTAATATTACATATATTCAGTTTCGATCAAATTACACTATTAAATGAGACCCCTGTAAATGGATATAAATCTGACTCGAATCAAATTAGTTAAACGAAACCCACATAAATGAATCTAAGACTTTACATAAATTCGACTCCGATCGCATTTCCAACTTAACTGCAATTTAGGAACTACTAAAACCCATAGCTTCCAAAATTGTGTCATTGAACATGCACCTAAAAATCATATTCAACAATTTTAATTTATTATATTGTTACTTAAAAATGAGTTAAATGTCAATATTACACATAATGTGACATAAAGACATAATTTTACTTGCAAAATAAAATAAAAATATTAAATATTATACCCAAAGGAGGGTACTAATTAGAACACATAAGCCAAGCACACAGATCACCAATTAGTTTAACCACTCACCTGAAGGCTGCCATTGTGCGCCATGTAAGTAACATAGTCGTTGCCTGCCAGGGACACTAGAGCAACCGACGAGTTTAGGTCGCGTTTGGTGTACACATTTTCTTCAAGGAGGTTTTGCAAATAATTGATTTGTGTTGTCATGTTTGGTCCTCTGACCAATGTGGTGAAGACACCTGTACCTCCATGAGCCAAATTCATCCCATGTTGTACCAATTTCCCACCAAATTCTCTCCATCTATAGGGTAATGGAGATTTGGTGCCCAGAAATGCAGCTGTATGTCACACCAATAATAATAATATTATAATTATTAAGGAAAAATAAATTTTTGAGGTTGATTTTATTCAAGTCTCCACACTAATTAAAACTTGAGTTGTGATTATTTTTTGGCTGGCCAATTATTCCGAATTTCAAGAGATATCAAGAATCATATTGTGTAGATTATAGTTAGGCAAATTAAACAAAAATTACCAAAATAACCTAATTTAATAAATAAAAAATTCATTTTGCTCTTGGGTTTTATCTCAAAAGGTTTCATAGTAATTAGAGATAGCACCACCCCAAATAAGCATTTCACATTTTCCTTATCCGACGATGTGGAATTGTGCACCCATAACTCGCTCAGTGTGGTAACTTGTCAGTGCTTCTTGCACCCGCCCACGACACACTCGTCCATAAATTCGCCACAAGACAATTGAAACTAACAAAGTTTATCCTCAATATATTTATGGAGCTCGGTTGGAATGAAACTCAAACTTGTAGAACTATCCCTTGGGTATCATCGATGCCTGATGTAATGGAAAAAAGTAAGATTTTCTACGTATAAATTATGCTTGTTATGATGGTAGTATTTGTGTATGCATGTTATGATGGTAATAGTTATTTGAGTAAGGTAGAATGCATCATTTCATATAATTGTTAGGAACTTCTTTATTATTACACCATAACTTCTAATCTTTATTATTACAATTTTAATTTAAAATGTGTTTACACATATAAAGACATTTCATTTCTATAAGTTGTCATTAAACTTTTCTTTCCAAACGATATGAAACGTTATCAGTGCCAACTTAAATGAAAGTTGATAATTTGACACCATAGCCACGGTACATTAAAGCTTAAACACTTGTACATGAGTGGATCCCAAGTCCTATTCTGATCCAGCCATCCACCAAGTTTTAAGGTTGCATTAAATTTTATAATAAAAAAAAAAAGACATTTTTTTGAGGTTGAAAATTTTGTAAGTTTTCCTAAAAAAAGATAAAAGAAATTAATTACAAGTACTAAATAAAAAGTTGGAGACAAATTATATATTTGTGAAAAATAAAAGTGCGCTGTGCGCAGTAGTAGAAAAAACTCATGGTAAGAAGCTGTGCGTGTCACTGTGTGAGAGAGAGAAATAGAAGATGCACCTATATAATCAGTGAGGACACGTCCATCGGAGAAGCGGCCTGTTGGTTTGCCGGGAAAGGTAGTTCCATAAGGTTGTTTCCACGAGCTTGCCAATGGTCTGGGGCAATTCCCAGTATCCGCATACGAGTCCCCGAATACGAAAAGCTTCACTCCTGAGTCGCCGCCACCATGGTAGTAGTCATGCGATTCTGCAACTGCATGCATGCATGAATGAGGAATTAGATATGGAAACAATATTAGTTAAGAAAAACAGCACTAATTAAAAGCAAGGCATTCATGTCGACCTGTATAAGCACCAAACAAGAAGAAGAAGAAGAAGAAGATACAAGAGAATACGACGAAGCTCATTTGCTTCTCCATCAATGACTTAGTTTTGAGGTGGTGCACACAGATTCGCATATGAAGGTATATATATATATATATATATGGAATGATAACAAATTAAGTTGTTTGGCGAAGCCAGAATTTCAATTTAGAAGGCAGTGTAAGAAAAAAACAATTTCAACAAACATGACAAATATAGGATTGTGTTTTAACCAAAAACGTTTCTTGTTTTCTGTTGCCAACAAAAACAAAAATTATATTTAATAATATATTTAAATTTTTTAATTTTTGTAAAAGAAAAGAGGAAACATAAAAGGTGTATATGTTTTTACTATTGTGACTATATAAACACTATTCATTTCAAACAAAATACATGTTGTAAATTAATACTACATATTATATATTAATAAAAACTATATTTATGCGGTCCTGCAACTGCACGCATGCATGAATGAGGAATTAGATACGGAAACAATATTAGTTAAGAAAAACAGCACTAATTAAAAGCAAGGCATCCATATTAGCACCAAACAACAAGAAGAAGATACAAGAGAATACAACGAAGCTCATTTGCTTCTCCATCAATGACTAGTTTTGAGGTGGTGCTCACAGATTCGCATGTGGAGGTATATATATATATATATATATATACTACTAAAAGAAACGTGTGATGCACGTGATGAATGTTTTGCAACTTATAGAATTTTTGTTTTCATATATTTTTTTTCTAATTGTTGATTTGAAGTTTGTAACAATAAAAACCTTACAAAAAAATTGCTCTTTTTATATTAATTAATAAATATTTTTTTTTGTATTAATAAATAAATACAGAAATATTTTGAAATTGGTGGTAGAGTTTGACTTTTGTAAAGTAATAAATTCTTTTAGGTTTTTAAATTAATAATGATATATTTATACTTTATTTTTTTATTAATTAATATTTTTTTTCTTTTAATACTGAAATATTTGAGTTTTGCAAAGTAATAAATTCAATTAGATAATTTGAATTTTATTATGTAATTTGTAATTTAAATTTTATTCGGTAATTTGAAATTTAGTATAATTTTAAATTTACAATAGAAATTCAATTATATTAATTTTAAATTAAATTTTAAAATAGAAATTCAATTATACTAATCATACATTAGATTGAAATTGATATAAAAATTTATTACATGGAGTTTGTTATTTTTTGGAAGACCCTAGGTTATATTTTATTTTATTTAAATATATCCTTGTCTAATGTAATAAAGTTTTATAGAAAATAAAATAGGTAATTTGTGGTATAGTTTTATAAAAATTATTTTATATTATTTAAATATATCCTTGTTAAATTATATTTTCTTTTATTAAAAAAAAACTCATAATAAATAGATAGATACATGATAGAGTTCTCCTTTTATATTAATTAATAAATATTTTTACATTAAAAAATTAAAATTAAAATGTTAAAATTATTTACACTTTTATATTTTATTTATATGTATTATTATATTATTATATATTTTGTTTAAATATATCCTTCTCTAATGTGATAGAGTTTTAAAGAAAATAAAATAGGTAATTTGTGGTAAAATTTTTACAGAAATTATTTTATTTTCTTTAAATATATCCTTGTTTAAAAAGATTTTCTTTTATTAATAAACTCATAATAAATAGATAAATATAGGTTATATGTGATAGAATTTTAAATAAAATAAAATAATTAATTTGTGGTAGAGTTTAGGTAATTTGTGTTAGGAGTTTTATAGAAACTCTTTAAATATATCCGGTCTAATGTGATAGAATTTCATTGAAAATAAAATAAGTAATTTGTGGTACAATTTTATATAAATTATTTATTTTCTTTAAATATATATAATCCTTGTCTAATTAGATTTTCTTCTAATTAAAAATTCATAATAAAAGGTAATTTGTGATAGAGTTTTCGAAAAATTATTTTATTTTTTATATCAATTATTAAATATTTTTTATATTAATAATTCTTGCCTAGTTATATTTTCTTTTATTAAAAAGCTCATAATAAATAGATAAATAGGTAATTCATGTTACAGTTTTATATAAACTCTTTTAAAAAATTATTTTAATTTTTTTAAATATATCGTTGTCTAATTATATTTTCTTTTATTAAAAAACTCATAATTAATAGATAAGTATAGGTTATATGTGATAGAGTGTTCAAGAAAATAAAATAGAAAATTTGTGGTAGAGTTTTATAGAAATTATTTTTTATTTTCTGTAAAAAAATTCATAATAAATAGATAAATACGAGTGATATGTGATAGAGTTTTATAGAAAATAAAATGGTTAATTTGTCATAGAGTTTAAAAAAAATTATTTTATTTTGTTTAAATATATTCTTGTCAAATTAGATTTTATTTTATTAAAAAACTTATAATAAATAGATAATGTGATAGAGTTTTATAAAAAATAAAATAATTAATTTGTGATAGAATTTTAAAAAAATTATTTTATTTTGTTTAAATATATTCTTGTCTAATTAGTTTTTATTTTCTTAAAAAACTTATAATAAATAGATAATGTGATAGAGTTTTATAGAAAATAAAACAGCTAATTCGTGATAGATTTTATATAAATTTTTTATTTTTTTAACTATATTATTGTTTAATTATATTTTCTTTTATTAAAAAAAACTAATAATAAATAGATAAATGGGTAATATATGTTAAAGTTTTATTGAAAATCTCTTAAAAACTATTTTTATATGAAATAATAAATATTTTATATATTAACAATTCTTGTCTAATTAGATTACCTTTTATTAAAAAAGCTCATAATAAAAGGTAATTTGTGGTGTAGTTTTATAAAAATTATTTTATTTTTTATATCAATAAAAAAATATGTTTTATATTAATTATTCTTGTCAAATTAGATTTTCTTTCATTAAAAAACTCATAATAAATAAATAAATATGTAATTTGTGTTAGAGTTTAATAGAAGCTCTTTTAAAAACTCTTTTTATATCAATTAATAAATATTTTTTATATTAATAATTCTTGTCTAATTAGATTTCCTTTTATTAAAAAAACTCATAATAAATAAATAAATATGTAATTTGTGTTAGTGTTTATAGAAACTCTTTTAAAACTTCTTTTTATATCAATTAATAAATAGGGTAAAGTACACTGACACCCCCTGAGATTTGGGATAAGGACAGCCAGATGAAACTTAGCCTATTTTGGGACAAAGACACCCCCTCAAGTTTGATACAATAACCAAAGACACCCCAATGGTAATGAGTTGACATTTCTGCCCTTTGACTTTTATATTGACCATGAAATGACATTTCTGTCCTCAGATACCCGTTCCAATTTCTTTCTCTCTCCTATGTTCTCTCTTCCGCCGCCCCAACACCAACGCACACACATACATATATACACAGACACATACATATATATATATATATGTATATACAAATACATATATATATACACACACACATATATGTATGTATATACAGGTGGCGATAGTGAATGGATGCGGGCCTTCATCCTTCGATTCCATCGGTGAGCTTACCCAAAGCCGGAGTACGCAAGTCATGAGTTGGGCTTAATGGCGGCGGTGGCAATAATTGTTCGACGAGGGCGACGGTGAGTGCTCTTGCTTGGTTAATTCTCTCTATCAGGTCTTGATATATCCCATGGCAGCGCACAAAATTGGAGCCATCAGTCTGACGAAGCTTCAAACTACAAGACCCGATTCTGTCCAGCGAGCCCCAAATCCGGTGAAGCCCAGTTCAGATCGACGGACCCCAAGCACGAACAGTTCCCGCGACCCAGAAGAAGAGAATGAGGTTTCAACAGATTGAGAGGGATCGCAGAGAACTGGGTGGTTGCGCCGCCTTGCGTAATCGGAGGGTATGCTGAGAAGGGTACGCAGATCTGACTCTGCTTTTTGGATGATTGAGAGGAACTCTTTTCCTCTATGGCTCATTTCCATCACGCTCATTCTAGTTCCACGCCAATTTTAGAGCTCGGATTTGGCCATCTTGGGCACGTTTTCAGGTAGAGTGGCCGAACTGGCGGTGAAATTGAAGACCTAATCTTGGGATTGGGAGGTGGAGGTTGGGCGATCTTGGATTTGGGTTGTTGAATATATGATCGATATGGGTTTGTTGAGGCACGAAGATAGGTTGAGGGGGAAGCCATTGAAGTGGGTGGTGGTGATTGTGTTGGGGCTTTTGAGAAGGTGAAGGTTAGGGTTTTTCAGGAGGAGAGGATGAGGTGAAGTTGTTGACATTGCCATGGTGTTTTTGAAGTTGTTGACATTGCCATGGTGATAGACCAAAAGCTTGATCCTTCCTTTCCATTGGAGAGCTTGAAGGCACGGTGGTTTGGGGGTGGGTGTTGGTGGTTATGGAGTTTTGGTGTGGTTGCTGCAGAATCCGGTTGTAGGATTGATGGGGTGTTGAGGGTAATTTGGTCATTTAATTATTTTAATATTTTATAATTAAAATTAATAAAATAGTGAAGGGTAATGTTGACTTTTCATATGTTTTAAGGCTCTGTTTGGCTTGTAAATATTACGAGGGGGTGTCATTGTCCCAAAACAGAGTAAGTTTCATCTGGCTGTTTTTTTGACAAATCTCAGGGTGTGTTAGTGTACTTTACCCTAATAAATAATTTTTTATATTAATAATACTTTTTTAATTAGATTTCCTTTTATGAAAAAACTAATAATAAATAAATAAATCATAGATAAATATGTAATTTGTGGTAGAGTTTTATACAATCTCTTTAAATATATCTATGTCTCATGTGATAGAGTTTTATTGAAAAAAAAAAAAAGTAATTTGTGATAAAATTTTATAAAAATTATTTTATTTTCTTTAAATATATCATTGTCTAATTAGATTTGATTTTATTAAGAAACTCAAAATAAAACTAATTTGTGGTAGAGTTTTAGAACTATTATTTTATTTTATATAGCAATTAATAAATATTTTTTATATTAATAATTCTTTTCTAATTAGAGTTTCTTTTATGAAAAAATTCATAATAATAAATAGATAAATT